GCTCCTCAGATTCCCCAGGGGGACTCCCAGTGCCGAGGGGCCCTCGGGGGCCCCTTTGACCCCCCCCGGAGGCTCCCCAGCTCCAGAGGGGACTGGGGAGCCCAGACAGACCCAACGCAGAACTGGGTCAGTCTGCGTCGTGACATGGGTGCTGGCCGGGCCCTAACTGCTGCCCCCAAATGTGTCCCCCATCCCGGGAACGCACCTGCAGCTGGCAGCGGAGCAAAGTGATCCATGTATCCAGGCGGCTTCTTCCTCCTTTTGGCTTCAATCCCGTACGGATCTAGGGGGATGGGAGCATCACTGCATGGGGCCACTGGCCCCAGGGGAGGCCCCGATGACAGAGGGAGGCCCCTCAGGAGGCCTTGCCCCCCTTGTGGGGGTCCCTCTGGCACCCACCTGAGCCGGAGAGCTCCTCCAGGACATCAGGCATCCCCCGCTTCCGCTTCACGTTCACCCCGTAGGCATCTGCAAAGAGAGGACGAGTGGGGGCATGAGCACTGGGGTTCCCCCCTCTCACCATGCGTGACCTAGGGACCCGCTTCTCACACTGGGCTGGACCCCTCCTCTTCCCCCCAAACTCCAGGGGACAGAGGGAACGATGCATCCCATCCCCGGGGGGCTGCCTCCAATTCCCCATGCCCTGTGGGGTCGGACCCTGAGCCTCCTAACCCATGGGATGTGTTCCCAAATCATGGGCTGCATCTTGCTGTCCCCATCCCCCTGTCTCTGTGGGGCACATCCCCATCCTGTGGGGCACGTACCCATCCCTCAGGCTGCATCCCCATTCTATATCCGCATCCCATGAGCCTTGTTCCCAACACGAGGTGGCCTGTCCCCATCCCATGGGCTACATGCCCACCCTGGGAGTCCTGTCCCCGCTCCATGTTCCCCCCCACGAGCCCCGTCCCCATGCCAGGTGACACGTCCCCATCCTAGGGGACGCATGGCCAGGCCAGGCCACATACCGTGGTCCTTGGGCAGGTAAGTGAAGCGGAAGGACTCGCTGCAGACACTGTCGGTGAGCCGCTGCAGGAAGACCTCCACCTCCACAGGCTCGGCCAGCTCCAGGTGCTGGTAGGGCGGCGTCTTGAACACGATGGCGACCTGGCGGTGCACATCAGCCTGCGAGAAGTCGGCCCGCGCTTCCCACGTCTCTTTGCGGAAAACCACCGCGATGTCCTCTGCAGAGGAAGAGGGGTCAGGGAGGCAACAGGAGCCCTTGCAGCACCCAAGGTCACCCTCTCCAGCCCCCAGCGGTTCCTACCCCCCTCCAGCACCCTGAGGTCCCATCCCCTGCACCTGCAAGGCAGCAGGACCCCCGGGCCCCTCGCCAGCACCCAGGATCCCTCCCCTATCATTAGCCGGGGTCCTCTCATCTGCAGTCCTGTAGCACCCCAGGGTCCTTTCCCCTGCAGGATGACTAGGGGGCAGCCAGACTCCCCCATGATCCCTCCCCTCCGACACCCAGGCTGTTCAGAAGCACTTGGGGGTGATCACAGCTCGCATCTCCAGACTCCTTTTGGACCCATCCCCAAACCCCTCAAGCGCACCAGCCCCCTCCAGCCTCTGTCACCTTCCTTCACCCCCACTCTCACTTCCTGGGGTGGTAGATTGGCGCCCCCAGGGTCACAAGGCTCCCAAAGCGCCCGCTGGTACCTTTCTGGACTTTGTCGCAAAGCAGGTAGAGCTCCTCGCCACCCGTGCACGGCCCGCTCTCCTTGTTCATCCGGCAGATCCTCAGCTCCGAGGTGTTGGTGGATTCTGCGGGCACCAGAGCACAGCTCAGGGGTGCTCAGGTGCCGTGCATGGACAGGGGTCCACAGCTGCCCTGCGGGGTCCTGTGGTGCAGCAACAGCAATGTGGCTCCAAAATCACCCAGCCCTGGGGCCAGGCTTGGGCAGCAAGACCAGGCTCAGGGTACAGGGACTCTCATTAGCATCATCTCTTCCCAAGCACCCCTAGCACTAGGTACCAACCCTGCAGAACACGGGTGACCAGATCCCCTGTGTGTGGGGGACCAGCTTCCCCTCAGGACACCACCAGTCACAGGGGACCATCTCCGACCAAACCTCGCAGCCCCGGCCCTGGCAAGGAACCGGCTGGTGCAATCTCATGGGCCACCCTGCCCCATGGCCACCCGCTGAAGCCAGGGAGGTACCAGGGGCCTGGCTGAGCCCCCCGCCAGTGACCCAAAGCCTCTCTTCCTCCACATACTCTTGTCAAAGATGGGCTCCGAGAGCACAGGGCTGAGGTGCTGCATCTGCCCAGCGCTGTCCTGGTAGGAGGCCTGGAAGCAGATCCTCACCACGTTCATGTCTACCTCCTGGTGGTTCTTGAGGGACCCAGCTGGGGCAGAGAAGAAGGCAAAAATCAGCTGCTGCCCAGGAGCGGGGGTCCCAGGCCCCCAAGAAATGCTTCTGCTCAAGCCACTCACCTTTGAAGGGGTCGATGCCCAGCTGCAGCTTCTTCTCTATCGCCATCTCGATCTCCTTTTTTTTCACACACTGGATACCAAGGTTGCTAAAGCTGCCGGGGGAGCAGAGGCGTGCTGGAGAGGCAGCTCCCCCCTGCAGAACCTGAGGGCACCCAGGCACCTTGCTCCTCTCAGCTTTGTCTCAGGGGGCTGGGCAGTTCCCCAGCGTGTCCGTTCCCAGAAGACAAGGCCCTGCACGGACCACCGTGGCTCCATCATCTCCAAAACAGGCATCGCTTGCACCCAGGGACGGCAGTTAAACGACCACCGAGGAACACATCGGTGCCTGGGCGCCCCCAAAGCCACGGGCAGACAACAGGGCACAGCTCGACCTCCAGTACGCTCCAACCTCCAGGCATCCCACCCCCCTGCTCCACCTCCGAGACCCCACGTCCCTCCTAGGGAATGCAGACAACTAGTCGTCACCAGCTTCAGCACAGCACCTCTGCGAATTGACGCCAGGGTCCCGGGGTGGGTGGGAGATATCTCTGCTCCCCGCACCAGCCTGGCACAGCTCCCTGCAGGCCACAGGACTCATCCCAGTGTCACAGCGCAGCCGTACCTGTGCTTGGGGTTGGTCTGGGGTTTGAGGACGACCTCGCAGAGCCCGTTGCTGCAGTCCTTGCCCACGAGGCCATGGGGGTGGACGCGGTAGGGCCAGTCCTTCCACACCAGGCATGCCGTCACCTTCACCTCAGGGATCGCGTGGCAGTTCAGCAGCTGGTGGGACACGAGCTGTGGGCGCTGCACCGGCTAAACCGACGCGGGGGGGGGGGGCCCACGA